GGACAGAAGGTCCTGTCCATTTGCTGGATCAGAAATAAGGCCTCAAGTCAGGCTCTTTGTCCAAAAGTCCCTTCTTTGTCTGCTGGTCTCTGGAGAGTCCAGTTTGAACCAGTATACGTGAGTGTCCCCCAGCACATTGTATTTCTCTCAGGGCTTACAACCTGGCTGATTTCCCTTAATCACCCCTTTGGTTTTTAGTTGCTGGAGGAGCAGTGGTAGCCCACCCCCATGAAGCAGAACACAATTATACATAAACCATTAATGAATCCCAAAGACACTGCACAGGGTTGCAATATCTGTCACAGATTGTTAGGAGGTGGTGAAAGGGAACAAACAGGAGCTTCAGTTTGTGCCACATATCATTAAAGTCAAGTTTCTGTTAATACTGTGGTGTATATTTCAGATAGTAATTTTACATTAAGAATATTCACTTTGTGTGTGTATTTTTACATTTGTATTAAAAAGCAATAAATAAATAAATAAATAAAAACTTAATACAAATAGTCAAGTGATAAAGTCTGGACTTGACCTACAGCCTCAAAGTCATGAGCTTCCACTAGCAATATACAAAAACTCCTTGTATCTGTACTTACAAGCTTCACTCTTGCAGATCCACTTGTGTTTGATACTACATCTGTTTCCACTTCAATACATCTATAGTCTTCACAGCCACGGCCATCTACCCGAAGATCCTCCTAAGCATAGCCACCACAGTTTTATTAAGTGATATAACTGATCCATATTATATTAATAAATCAAATACAAACTTAAAATAATCCCAGATAAAACATGCAAGTTAACAAAGCTAAATGGAGAAAAACAGATGGTCTTGTAGTTAAAGTGCTGGAGTATGACTTGAAAGATCTAGGTTTAATTCCCAGTTCAGTCACCGACTTCCTGCATGAACTGTAAAAATGGAGAGAGAAGGTAATACTATATACTATACAATACAAACTAAGCGTAGAACGTGAGTATTTCAGTCTTCATCCTGCAACACGCTCCATGTGGGCAGACGTCTTTCAGCTTCAGTGCAGCTCCTTATGCACAGATGGAAACCTATGTCCACAGTTCATTCAGGATCAGGGCCTTAAATGGTAAGCTCTTTGAGGCAAGAGCTGTGTGTTTGTGTAGCACCTAGCATAACGGGGCTCTGATCTTGGTTGGGGCCTCCAGAGAATACATACATAAATTGATGAAGAAGAAAGAATTGGGTAGTTTGAATTGCCAGCCAAAGTTACTGATGCCTTTAAGCAAAATAATAAACTGTCCATATACCTTCTCTTCACCTAAGAGGTTTGTTAGTATAGGTCTACCGGTAAACCCTCCTAGTGTAGACATATTTTATACCAGCAAAAAAGTTATTTTGCGGATATACCTTCTTCCCAGAGATAAATAAGCTATAAGTCAAAAAGCCTTTTTTGCTGATATAAACTGTGCCTACTCAGGCATTTTACCAGAATAAATATGTTGGCCAAAAACAAACAAACAAACAAACAAACAAAAAAACACCCCACACAACTATGGGGGCAAAACTTTTAAGTGCAGACCAGGCCTAAGATAGCAATTCCAGTAAGAAAAAAAAGTTGGTATAAAATGAAAACATCCTGTAGCAGAAAGGATATATCTAGGATCTTTCTTGGCTTTGTGCTATCTGAGGTGTTTAGTGTAGACAGGAGATCAAATCTTAGTATTTGTTACATAGATATAAATCCCAAAGAACTCCACTGAAGTCGATGGAGCTGTATTCGCAAAAAACCCAAGATCAGAAACTTCCCTCACATGGAGCTGTTAAGTCTGTTTATTTAAGGCTGCTGTGTCTAAGCCAGTCAGAGGACAGGTATCTAGTTATGAACAATGGCAAAATAAAGAGAACATAATAACTGGCTCTCCTGCACCATTGGTTCTATCCAGTGCAAGCTACACACAGCGCAGGTTGCAAATCTTTCCTTGGCCAAAAGTGCACAAGTGAACAATGATGAAGAAATCCTGGAGGAGATAAACATTTTAGCCTTTAGAGGTTATTTCCCCCTGAAAACAACCGACTTTATTTCAATTTAAACAGCTGGCAATAGCCCCACCCCGTCGGCAGCAGCGACCCGGGACACGAAGCACTCAGCCGCGCCGTGCTCCGCATTACAGGCTCTGCAGGCCCCCGGCTACAAGCTGGAGTGGGAGAGGAGGGGAACAGCAGAGGCTGACCGCGCGGAGAGGCCGGATTGCTGCTGCAGCACCGCCCATTCCCCCTGCCCCGGAGCGTCTGCTCCCCTCGCTAACACCTCCTGACCGCCCCCCGGCCGGGAACCCTGTCCGCTCCCAACTCACCCCCACCGGGAACCCTGTCCGCTCCCAACTCTCA